CTCCGGTGCCCCCCTAGGAAAATTGGTTCGTACAGCCCCCCCCCCCCCCCCCCTCCCCCCTCCCCCTCCCCCCTCCTCCTCCCCCCTCCCCCCGGGCAGCCGCCCACCGCGGCGAGCGGCGGCAGCAGCAGCAGCAGCACGCGCGCGCACGTGGCGCCGCCCGCCTGCCTGCACAGCGCCTGGAACAAGTGCCATTCGGCCGAGTCAACCTTCCATGACTTGTACGCCTCCCCCGCGGTGATTTGCGCGAGCAGCGGCGGCAGGAAGACCGCGTGCAGCGCTTCGGCGGAGCCGCCGTCGACCGCCGCCGCCATGGCACTCAAGCACTCGATAGCGCGCCGCTGCGACGCAAACCCGTGCTGCGCCGATGACGGCACCGACGCCACGCGCATCAGCGCTGAGTAGAGCAGCAACCCGTTGTCGCCCGAGGCGCAAGCGGCGCCGGCCGACGAGATCAGCTGCCCGAGGAAAGAGCAGAGCCGGAGCTGCGTCGCTGCAAACGAGGCGCCAGCATCGTCGTCCGACGCTCGGCCGGGGACGCAAAAGACAGGCCGCGCCACCTGGAGAGTGCAGGTAGTGTCGCTTGGCGCTCGCGTGCCGGCTGGGACCGAGGCAAGAAGGGCACGGCTTGCGGGTCAGCACCCACCGTCGCGAGCAGCGCGGAGAGGTGCGGCCTCAGCTGCTCGGCCGTCGCGCCGGCCAGCAGTTCGCCCAGGAGGGCCAACCAGCCCGCCCGTCTGCCGATGGCTCCCGCGTCGGTCTCCGCGCCCTCTAGCACAGTCACTGCGGCCGGCCTCATCCGCGAGTGGCCACCCCCGCGCAAGAAATCGGCGCCGCCGCCGGCGGAGTTACCGCCGCACCCGGCGGTGGCGGCGCTCCCGACAAGTGCGGCGCCGGACGGTGCCCGTAGCTGGTCGAGGACGAGAGGCACATACACGGCGAGGTCGCAAGAGCGGCCGACGAGCTGCGCGCAGCGGCGCACCTGCCGAGGTCACATCACGTTGGCCGCTGCCGGAGCGCACCAGGTTTGGGGCGGCAGAGGGCAGAGGGCCGCGCCTGCCGTGCGACGCCCTCATCCGAGTCCTCCACCGTCTTCGAGAGAGCGGCGAGCAGCGGGCCTAGGTGGTCGGTTGCTGCCGGCCCGACGAGCCAGAGCGTGCCGGCGAGCGTGTCCGCCGCGCGAATGCGCGCCTGGATGCGCAGCGTGCTCGTGTTGAGAGAGGATGCTGGGAGGGAGGACAAGCTCGGTCTGTGGGTCCCTCGCGTGGAGAGGGTGTGCCCACACATGGCGGCCGTGGCTAGAAAGGGCGTCGGTGGCTAGGCAGCACCCGCCTTGGCGGTCCAGTCCGACAACTCCTTCAGCGCGGGCGGGAGCAGGCGGTGCAACTCGCAAGCCACCAGTCCCGCCGCGCCCGCTGGCGGCGCGGCTGCGAAAGTGGTCTCGGCCAGCTCGGGCGGAAAAGGCGGCGCGGCGGCGGCGGCGGCGGCGGCGGCGGCGGCGGCTACGCGTGCAGCCCCCTCGCCACGAGCATCGGCAGCTTCTGGGGGCGCTCCGTCGAAGGTCGCAGCGTCGGCCGCCGCCATCAGATCGGGGGCGAGGGCGGCCTACGGGCGAGAGGCGTCCTCGCTGACAGTGTAGAGGGTTCGCCAGGAAGCCGCGAGTTCGGGCGGGCGCCAGCGGCTGCACTCGCTGAGCCGCTACGTCCGTGGAGCCGCCGAGGCGGGCCAGCGAGGTGTGGGCGAGCGAGCGGATCGACTCGACCTCGTCCGAGAGGGCGCAGAGCAGGTGCGGCAAGAGGCGAGCGGTGTTGGCCTCTCGGTGGGGCATCTCGGCAAGCAGCCGCGCCACCGAGCCAACCGCCTGCTCGCGGACCTGCAGCGACGGACCAGCGCGACTGGGAGGCAGGACGAGGGAGTGCGGGAGAGGGCGGGCGGGTGCGAGGCGGGATGTGCAGGGCAGCGCGTGCGGAGCAGGGGCCCACCGAGCTCGCGCGGTCGGTGGCGAGGAGGGCGAGCTGAGGGCCAAGCTCTGCGAGCGCCGACGGCTCCCGCAGCAGCAGAGCCACAAGCGCCTAGGGGAGGCTTCGACGCACGATCTGGGAGCATTCCGACGGCTCGTGCGAGAAGCAGAGGGAGCGCCTCGACGGCGGCGGTCCGGACTCGCGAGTGCTGGTGCGCCAGGGCGGGGAGGAGCGCTCGTGCGAGCATCGCGCAATGCGGCTCGATGTGCTCGGCCAGCACGTCGCTCAGCTGCACGCAGAGCGAGCACGCCGCCTGTCGCGGAGGACGCGGCATGAACTCCTCACGGGCACGCGGCGGCGAGAGCGGCAAACGCTTTGCCCCGCTTCAACGACTGCGGTCCGATCGGCCTCCTCCTCTCCATTAGCTGTGAGGCCCCGAACCGCGCTGCAGCTCGGCAAGAGGTCAATCTCGGCCACTGCCTCTCCTCCCTCGGCTCAACTGGACGCCATCGCCTCATCTCCGCTAATCTCGCCGCCTTTTTTGCGTCGGGAAACGGGTCGGCAAAGCCGGCGCGCAGTGCAGCGGCAATCTCGGGAAGGTAGACGGAAAGTGGCGTGCCGGCGCGGCGCGCGAGGGTGCCCAGCAGTCTGAGCAGCTCGAGCCGCAGCTCCTCGGTCGGCTCTGCCGCCGCCGAGCTCGAGAGGCGCGCTGCAGCGGCCGGCGCGACGTGGGCGAGCGAGGCGCGGATGACCGGCTGCGGCAGCGCCTCGAGGACCGCGGCAGTGAGTGCGAGCGCGAGCTCGCGGTTCTTCTCCACCGGATCGGCGAGCAGCTTGAGCAGCGGCGCGCGCAGCGATTGCTCCCAGAGGGCGGCGAGGGTCTGCATGCCGGCGGCCTCGTCCGACGCCAAAGTGGAGACGGACGCCGCCAGCCGCGTCAGCGCACGCCGCCGCGTGGTACGGTCGTCGTCGGAGAGGCAGTTCACGTCCCGCTGGTACAGTTGTAGCGTGCCAGCCTCCGCGTCCACCTCCATGGCCGCCATTGTGGGCGTTGTGCCTGTTGGAGCTCGAGAATTTTTTGGCGGTCGCAGGACTCCATCCCTCCCTTGGGTTGCGTGTTTTCTTTCTTTCTTTCTTTTACGATTCACGCGACAGGCGAGGCGCGGGCGACGGCTTCCTCAAAAAAGAATTTTACAGTACTTGGCGTGTCCGTTTTATTTTTTTGTTATACACTGGGCACATTTGTTATACACTGGGCACGGGTTGGAGCTCGAAAAAGAATTTTACGAGGCGCACGTTTTCAAGTCCACCTTTCGGGTATGTTCCTCAGAAGGAAATTCAAAAAAAGTTCGCTCCTTCATCCAAAGTGCAAGTGCTCACATCGCAAACCCTGTCAGCAGTCCATCCACCTCCTGAGGGAGGGTGTAGAGGATGTAGAGTGTAGAGCGCTGTAGAGCTGTAGAGATGTAGAGCGCTGTAGAGCTGTAGAGCTCTACATCCGCCGCGGGACGAAGTGCCTGCGTTGTAGAGCGATGTAGAGCGCGATTTTGTTGTAGAGTTTGTTGTAGAGGCTCTACAGCAAAACCGCGGGAAGGCAGTGACTCAAAGAGGTCGAGCCGCACTAATGGGGTGTCTCCGAGCTTACTGGAGCTCTGATGGACGGCCCTGACTATCCCTGACACACAGAGAGTCCACTGTGACGGCACATAACACCCTATAACTGCGTCATGACCAGCCTGCCATGCGTCGCCGGTGCCGCATTCGTCGCTGTGCTTCTTTAGCAGGCGGTGGACTGTCGGCTGCGAGGACGGTCGCATTTGCGGGAGGCGCGAGGCGAGCATTGCTGCGCGTTGCATGCGCCATGACTCGCGCCAGCGAGCGCGTGCGGGAGCTCCTGGCTGAGCGTTGAGTCCAGGCGAGTTGCGCTGGCCACTGTATCGCTACGCCGAGCCGAGCTGACGCGCCCGGAGGCGCCGGCCAGTCGCAGCCGTGAGGCATGCCACAGCAGCAGAGGCACCTGCCACCCATTGGGCGGGCAGACAGAAGGCCAGGGCAGCACTGGCAAGTGCAACGCGCCTCATGTCGGAGAGCGACCGTGCCTCGTTCGCCGCTTATCATGTAGAGGTTGTTGTTGTATGATAGTAGTGCGGCAGTTTGGTCGGAGGGCGCCCGGGTCGCCCAGGAGCGGCCCCGCGCGGGGAGGTGGGTGGAGGGCGGGCACCACGCCATCGGGCAGGCCACGCGGGGACGCAGCCGGGGCCAGCGCGCGGCGCTAGAGGGCCGGGCGCAAACTTGTGGCACCTGCACCTGCACCGGCACCTGGGTGCCGCGAGTTTTGGTGGTTCGAAAAGCGGAGCGCGCAGTCCGTTGTGGCTCGAAACGCGATGCCTCCGCCGGGAGACACGGATGTCGCCGTCAGGAGCGACGAGGCTGGCGAGGTGGCGAGAGCGAGGCGGTCGAGCGTGATCAGTCGCACTCGAATCTGCCCCGCAGTGCAGATGCTACTCCTCGTCGACTGGCGCCGCTTCCTTGGCGTGCTCCCGTTCGTGCCAAAGGCGCTCTCCGCCTTTGCGCCATCGCACTCAGCCACCACCGCCGCCGCCGTGCCAGCCGTGGAGAGCGAGATGGGCAGGGCGCTCTCGCGGCTGCCTCCCGCGGCGCGCTAGCCGCACGTCGAGGCGGCCGTGCTGTCGGTGCTGGAGGACCTCACCGGCGCAGGCGGCCTCACCGCCGACACGCCGCTCATGGAGGCCGGCATCGACTCGCTCGGCGCGGTTGAGCTCGGCAACCAGCTGCGGTCGATGTCGGGCGCGGCGCTGCCGTCGACGCTCGTCTTCGACTACCCGACGGCGCGCCAGCTCGCGGGCTACTTGAAGGAGCAGGCGGAGGATGCGGACGAAGGAGGCAGGGCTGCATCCTTTGACTCGCTGGTGTCGGCCAGGAGACAGCCCGGCGTCACAGACTTCACGCCAGCAAAGGAGCAGCGAGACTCTCTCGCCTCCCGTGAGGACAAAAATATGGTGTGGCAGACGCTGCAAGGGGAACGACGGTTGGAGAAGGTTGCCATGTGGTCATGGCGAAGCTCGTCGCCAGGGAGCGGGATCACCCGTGGAGGTGCAGTGGTTCATCTCGGAGACGAGCTCAACGGTCATGTGCATTTGATACACGGTGGCTTCACGGCGGCTTTGCTCGACGATCTCTTCGGGTGCGATGGCGCGCTCAATAGTACCACGACTCCAGCTCTCCGATCGGGTCGCCGACAGCGGGCTTGCGCGGCGCGCCGCTCGACGGCAGGCTGCTCCCCACCCTTCCAACAGCATCTTCTGCCTCGCTTCTCTCGCGGCGACCGCCTCCTGGGGCCTGCGCCGACCGCCTCGCTTCGCCAGCGCTGCCTACGACTGCGGCACGCACGTCGGCTCGCCGCCCGCGTCGCCGGCGGCGGGCCCGCATAGCACGCCGCTCGTCGGGACGCTGATGTGCGGCTGAGGGACGGCCAAGTGAGCAATACCTTCGAGAGCGAGGACCGCCACCATCGGGTCATCCGTGGCCGCCCCCCCGAGCAGCACCACCAGCAGCGCGCCTATCCACGGCCGAATGCGTGAGCGACCCGCGCGGGGGTGATGGCAACACGCGCATGAGCAGAGGCGCGCAGCAAGAAACCAACGAGACTGCGGCGTGGAGCAGAAGCGCCGGCAGGCCGGCGTCCGGCGGGCCGGCGTCCGGTAGGACGTCTCCTCCGCCACTCAGCTGTGAGGGCACACACACACACACACACACACACACACACACACACACACACACACACACACACACACACACACACACACACACACACACACACTTACACACACACACCGCTCACCCACGCGCACCGGGCCTTGCACTTTAAATGCCGTGGGGCTCCTGTCGTTAGACGTGGAGACGCGAGGGTTGCCCCCCCTTGCCCCACCACCTCGTGTGTGTGGAGAAGTTTACCTTACCTTACCTTACCTGAGGGCGCAACCAGGCCAGCGCCCTTGCCACCCCCGCCCTTGCCGCCGCCGCCGCCGCCGCCGCGGCCGCCGCAACCGCCGCCGCCGCCGCCGCCGCCACCGCCGCCGCCGCCGCCGCCGCCGCCCTTGCCGCCTTTGAGTTTCCCCATGTTGACCTCCTTAGCCTTCTGCGGAGCCTCACCTTGGTCTCGCCCTCTGGTGCACTCTCTGCAGCCGACGGTGCAGCGAGCCGCCGAGCGCTTGCGGTGGGAGCCGTCGCGAGCAGTGCGGGTTCAGCGTCGACGAATTGCGATGCGAGGAGCATACAGGGGAGTGCGACAGCCAACAAACATGCGGTGAGTTCGCAGGGCGATTGATTGAATTCTTTTCCCCCCGGCGCACTCGTGTTGCAAGTCCTTGGCCGGGACGAGTACAGGTATATGGTTGGCAAATCAAGACGAGAGTATGCGGCCGGAAGCGCGAGAGCGCCACCGCGGTGGATTTCCTCGGACAGCCTGGATTTCTTTCTCGAAACAGGAGCACTGCCTGTGTGTGTATGCCGCGTCGTAAACCGGCAGTGTCGGCGCCCGTGCGTAAGCCGCACCGCTTCCGCCCGGGGCAAGCGGCACTTCGCGAGATTCGCAAGTACCAGAGTAGCACCGAGCTGCTGATACGGAAGATGCCGTTTGCGAGGCAAGGAGAGGAGAATCGGAGAACTGAGAGACTGGGACGACTGGACACAAGCAAGAAGACAGTCGGGTATGTTCGTTAGAACCATAAAAGTTAGAGGCCGTCTTCTGATAAACGCAGTACATGGACCCGCGTCACAACGAAGCACGAGAGCGTGCACGACAGAGCGACACGGCGCAGCGCACTGCCGTCCAGCTAAAAAGCGGCGGCCGACGGTTGCTGCGCAATGTGATCAGTTCTAGAGAAGGTACCGGGGCCCAACGGATAGATGAATCCGGGGGCACCCTCCGCTCGAAACCCTGGGCCCTGGCTAGGGGTTCGAGGTGGCCCCCACCCTGCTCCCTGGGGCCTCCCATCAAAGGGACTGCGGCAGAAGACGCCCAATCTTGCACAAGTGCAAGAACCATACGTCATCGCATTCGCCTTCCTGGGAGGGACCCAGTGTGCTGAGTTTACTGTCGTTGCTGTTTCTCGACTGTCAGTTAGGTTAGGTTAGGTAGGAAGGTCAAGAGCAGCCAGGCTCGGACTGGACACCAACGCGGTATGGGTGGACGCTAGACAGATGATGACGACACACGCACGACCGCACGAGCGACACACAGACACAAACAAACAGGAAACAGGCTCACAAGACACAGGATGTTAATCATTAAAAGATGTGGGCGCCTCCCAAGCCAATGGTGTCTAAGGGTCTCTGGCACTCCTGGATGCATGCACAGTCACAACGGAGTAGCAATGTTCGGAAGTGTCCGAGCCCAGCGGTCCCGAGCGGTCCCGAGCCGTCCCGAGTCGCAACCCGAGCGGTCCCGAGCGGTCCCGAGCGGTCCCGAGCGGTCCCGAGTGGCCCCAGAGCACCCCAGAGCACCCCAGAGCCTACCTGAGAGCCCACGGCCGCTTGGCAGGCACTTGCACGAGCCTGTTTCTTGTAATGACTAACATCCGCTGGCTGCCACACACCCTGAGTTGGCGTACACATAACTCAGGGCCACGTCCTCCCTGTCGCCCCCCCCAGCACACACGGTGCCAAGGGCACAAACAAGAGCACAAGTTGTGGGGCGTTTTGTTCAAATCAAAAAAAGAGGCGAGGTGGGTGGGTTGGGAGCGAGGGGGCGGAAGTGTTCAGTGCGGTAGATGGTCAGCTCGGGGCGCAAGAGGTGCCCTGTGAGCCATCCGGCTTACATTTACCCTGCGTTCGCGCACATACATGGAGTGAGTGCGAGGTATCTCGTCTGTCGCCGTCCCAAGCTGTCACTCCCCTCTCTCACGGCCGGGGCGCGCGCGGGGGCGGCGGGTGTGCGGCGGGTGTGCGGGATGTCTGTGGGCCCGAGAGCGATATGCCATGTCCGCCTTGCGTTTGTTTCATAACATCGAAGGCTAAGCTCAAAAAAGAATTCTTAAATACAAGCCTCTCTCACAGCACACTGGCACGACAAGGGCGCGGACTGGCGCGGACTAAAAAAAAGAATTCTTCCCGCCAAGCCTCTCTCACAGCACAACAAGAAGCAAGTCGTCGGAAGTGTCACAGCCGAGCGTCGGAGCACAAGCCAGCCCTATGGCCTCGTCACCCTTCGAGCCCTACCCGGCGCGACTGCGGCGGCTCTTGCGCCGCTGGAACCCGTCCGGCATGCTCGTTTCGGATGCAAAGGCGCACGCGGCGACCAAGCTGCTCTCTGACCCGCGTGCCGCCTCCTTTGCGGAGGCCTCCGAGGTGGAGGCTGCGCGGTGCACCTTTGAGGCGGCGGTGCACCCCGTGCTCCAGCAGCCTGTGCCGTCGGCCTTCCGCATCTGCTCCTTCGTGCCTGTGACGACCATCGCCGCCATTGGGATCTCCTCCTCTGGCTCCGCGGCCGGCACCCTCTTTTGGCACTGGTTCTACCAGTCGCATTCGGCGGCGGTGCGCTACTGCAACTACGCTGACACGTCGCGAGACCTCGACCCGAGGCAGATGACGGCCGCCTACGCTGTCTCGACGGCGAGCGCTTGCGCCATCGGGCTGGGCGCGCTTCACTCTCGGTTGCCGAGGCGGCTCACGCTCGCCGCGCCGCACCTGGCGCTCTGCTTCGCCGGCGGGCTGTCGACGTGGATCAACAGCTGGCGCTCCCGAGAGACGCCTCCGAGAGGCGCCCCCAGAGAGGCGCTCCGAGAGGCGCTCCGAGCGGACCCGTGCGCAGGCCGATGCTCGAGCGGGGCGTGCCGCTCCTGGACGAGTCTGGCGTCGCCATTCCGGGTGCCCGCCGCCTGCTCGCGCGCGCCGCGCCGCTCCCACCATGGTGCCTCTCCCCCACCCACCCACCCACTCATGCGGGGCTGCGAGGCGGCCGCAGGCCTCTCCCGTCGCACACTCTCTGAACCTTCCCGGAAGCCTCCCGTAGGCGTCTCCTCGACGGCGGCCGCGCGGGCGACGGTGGAGCGAGCGGCGCTGCTCCAGGCGGTGCTTGTCCCGGCGTGTGCTCTGCTCGTGCCCACGGCAGTCATCCGTGCCGTGCTGGCGCCGCACCTATGGCGGACGGCGCCGCAGCTGCTGCCGCTCGCCGCCTCAGCGACGGTTCTCGGTTCGGTCGGCGGGCTGACTCCGCTCGCGACCGCAGCTGTGCCCGCCTATGTGTCCCTCGCCGTTGCCGACTTGGAGCCAGAGGCGCGCGAACGGGTCGCGGCCGAGGCAACCGCCGCCGCTGTACGCGGGACGCCCGCCCGAGTCTACAGCGACCGCCCCCTTTACTGAGTGTGTCTGTGTGCTTGGAGCACTTGGAGCGGTGGATTTTCTCTTTTTGCGAGGCCTCCGCAGCGTCGTCGTAGCTCGGAGAAACCCTTCGGGTCGCTCCTCATCGCAAACCCAGTCAGCAGAGTCCTCCTACGGGAATGTCAAATGACGAATGAGGAAAAAAATTTGCTTTTTACCCTGCGAAAGACACTACTCTCCCCCCCCCGTCACTCGTCCCCCTTGGCGTGGCGCGCCTCTCCCCCAGCTCTCGGTATCGCGTACTGCACGAGGCTACCGTGGGCCCCGCCTGCGCGCTGGGGGTTCCCTGCCCTGTCGGGAAGCCTAGCTCTGAACCTGGGGTCGCTACCTAATGCGGGGCTCCTGGACGGGTGATGAAGTTCGCCTTGAATCTCTCGTCTCGCTTTCCCCCCGACTCGCGTCCGTCGGGGGTACTCCCTGCTTTGGCTCTCTGATCTCCCCCCCCCCCCCCCTCCTTCCCTCTCCGGGATGAGAAGCGCGCTGCTGTCCCTAGAGTGGGGTCGGGTGTTGAGGGAATTGATTAGGCCCCATGTTGTCCGCGGCCGCCCACGGACGATCGCCGGAGTGGGCCGAAGGACAGAGGCTTGCCTGTGTGGGGGCGCGCGGGCGCCCACTCAGGCTCGGCCTCCGTTGTCTCAGCCTTCAGTTCACCTCTCCTAGCGCCCGGTTTTGCGTGGCGACCTTCATTTCGGGGTCGAAGGTGCTACACACACTTGCCCCCTGGTGGTCTGGCACTCGGCGTTATCCCTACTGGGGTTAGCCTGTTTTTCTTTTATTTTCTGAATCCCCGCGGTGTTTTTTCTTTCCTGTATTTATTTTTAATTTTAAGAATTCTTTCCTGTCAGTTTTCTTTCGCAAAATCCAAAACGAACGTGGACCAGAAGATTCGAACTCGGGACCGGTTTCACGACAGCAAGTGTTTGTCTCTCGGCGGTGTTTTTTTTCTTCGTTCTGGCAGATGTGAGATGACAGTAAAAAGTGCGGCAGAGGGGTTTCGGTGTGGGGTTTGTGCCCGGGGGGGGCGTCGGGCCTTTCCGGTGTATATATTTTGTATCTGGACAGCACTCAGCAGGAATGTTTGTCTCCGCATCATGTTTTTCTTTTTTGGCAGTAAGCGAGCACACACACACAGAGGCGCAACAGCGTGCACTTACCAACAGTCGAATACGGGGCTGTGTGCGGCAGGCGCGGGCTCGGTCGTTCTCACATGTTCAAACTGCTGCGGTGTGTGCCAGGGGAGGCGCGGCGGCGGGGAGGATTGGGAAGGTCAGAGAGACTGCAGGCGTGCAGAGGCGCGCGCTGCAGTGTCTCTGGTTGGGCTGCTGGCGGAGTGTGCGCGAGACGTCGTGATGAGGCGAGGGGCAGGCTGTTGTTGCGGGGTGCGGGCTGCATCGTTGAGCGCAGTGCGTGCACATGGTGCTGTATGCTGTGTGTGCAGGCAGGCTGACAGGCTGTGGAGCAGACTGAGCGGATGAGCGCGCGTGCGCGCGCGTGCGGGTGCGTGCGTGCGTGCGTGCCTTGCGTGGTGCGGAATCTGCGTCGTACGCGGCGCGTCCTGGTACAGCCGCTTGTGAGATGCCAGGAGCAGTGTGCAGAGCCTGCACAGGGCGCAAAAAGGCGAGGTAGTGCTGGTGAGGTGTGCTGCGGCGCGCGCGTCGCGGCGTGAGTGGATATGCGGCTGCCTCTGGTGGTGCGAGGGGCGCGTGGCTGGTGCGGGCGGCGCGGGACGGCCATGGGGCGCCAGCACAGGGCTTGCGCACATGACACAGGCTTCTGGGCGCTACGCGTGTGTTTGCGTGCGCGCGGGGACGTGTGCGTGGAGAAGGGCATGAGGGGCGCCGGCCGCGCGTGTATTGGCGTGTGAGAGTGCGTGGTGCCCGTAGGGCGGTCAGGTTGCCCGTAAGGCGATCCCTCCATGCGGAGGGTGGACCTTTTCGAAAGAAAAGATCTGACGAATGTGGAATGTGGAATGGTACGCAAGAGCCTCATACACTGAGAGAGAGAGAGAGAGTGTCTCCCTTTTCTCCCAGTAAGCTAAAAGTACGTACACTGAGAGAAAAGGGAGAGGCCGGGGGGTGTGCTCTCAAGTAGAAGTCGACACTGAAAAATCTTGCAGAGGCGGTTAGTGCACCATTGCTAGTCCCCCACCGGGAGGACGACCCCGGCTAGTCGCCGACCACACCCACAAAGAACCCTGCACAAAGATCGCAAGGGCGGGGACCTGTTCCTTTTTACCCATCTCACAGTAGAGAGGTGTCCGTTTTTATTTATTTATTTATTATAGTGGTGCACTCACCCCGAGAAACCCTTCGACTCCTCTCAGCAGTCCTCCTCCTGGGAATGTACGTAAGAGCCACGTGCACGGAGTTCATGGGGTCCCGTACCATGGGGAATCGAGCATGCTCAGTCCCCAATAAAAAATACCGGTCACTCGTGCCTCTGCACGGCCCCGGCCGCGTGCTCCAGATATACATGGCTTGTGTCGTTCTCGCCGCCGCGGGCGCCCTGTTGCGCGGGCCAGGGCCCGAGCTCCGTCCGGCTCTTCGGCTTCGCGGTGGGACTGCTGACGGAGCCATTGGCGGGCTCAGTGGCGGCAGCGGCTGCGCGGCGGTGGCGCTCGCAGCTGGCGGTGATAGCGGTGAGCCAGATCGCAGGTCGCTTCAGGAGGAGCTCACGGCTCGCTACACTGGACTCTCCGCCGGCCTCGATCCGAGCATCGCGGCCGCCGCCGCTGACTTGGCGGCGCGAGTGGTTGACGGGCTGACAGCGACTGCGACGGATGCGGAGGTTGACCAGCTCGCTGCCGAGACGGCGGCGTACCTGACGTCGCACCACCCGGACTACTCGAAGCTTGCGGCGCGCGTGACCGTCAAGCGGATACACAACCACACTAGCGACTCCTTTGCCGACACCATGGAGGCTCTGGCCAACTATCGCCACCCGCGCAAGGGCACTCCCGCGCCGCTCGTGAAGCAAGAGTTTGCAGAGCTGGCGAGGAAGCTGGCGCCGCGGCTCGAGGGCGCGATGCGGTACGAGCGCGACTTTGGGTACGACTACTTTGGCCTCCGCACGCTCGTCCGCTCCTACCTCCTCGGCCTCACCCCGGCGGGGACGCCGCAGGAGCACCGCCTCCCTTTGCCCCGCTGGTCTCCAGACTCCCTCTGCCGCTGCCTCCTGCCTGCCGCTGCCTCCTCCTGCCTCCGGCCCCCCTTCTTCCTGCTGGCTCAGCAGCGCCCCTCGCGCACGCGCCGCAGGAGCGGCCGCAGCACATGCTGATGCGCGTCGCCTTGGCGGTGCACGGCGAGGACGTGGAGGGTGTGCTTGCGGCCTACGACTATATGTCGCGCGGTCTCTACACGCACGCGACGCCCACCCTGTTCAACGCGGGCTGCCCTCGGGGGCAGCTCTGCTCCTGCTTCCTCCTCACCACGCGCGACGACTCGGTCGAGGGCATCTTCCAGACCCTCTCGGATTGCGCCCTCATCTCGCGCTCCGCGGGCGGCATTGGCCTCTCCATCTCCCACGTGCGCGCCTCCGGCTCCTACATCCGCTCGACGGGCGGAAAGGCTCCCCCCCCCCCCCCCCCCTCCCCCCCTTCACCCCCCCTCCTCCCTCCCTCCCCCCCTGCTCCTCCCCGCCGCCTCGTTCCCTCCCCCCAACGCGCCGTGATGACATCGAACGGATTCGGATTCCCCTTAACGATTCGGGCGATGGCTTGACCCCGATGATTTCAACTGTTCGAGACTGAGCGCGATCCACACACACACGCTCACCGGCCCGCGCGCGATGCTCGCCGCCGCCGCCCGCCACCCGCCGCTCGCCCGCCCGCCTCTGCTCAGCTGTGAGTGTGGCGCCGCTCTCAGGCGTGCGGCTTGGTGCCGATGCTCCGAGTCTTCGATGCCACGGCTCGGTACGTCGACCAGGGCGGCGGCAAGCGGCGGGGCGCCTTTGCCATGTACCTCGAGCCGTGGCACGCAGACGTGTTTGACTTTTTGGAGCTGAAGCGCAACCACGGCAAGGAGGAGCAGCGGGCGCGCGACCTGTTCTATGCGCTGTGGGTGCCCGACCTCTTCATGCGGCGCGTCGAGGCGGGCGGGAACTGGAGCCTCTTTTGCCCGTCGGAGGCGACCGGCCTTGTCGACCTCCACGGCGAGAGAGAGAGAGAGAGAGGCGGCGCGCGCGAGAGAGCCGCGCGGGAGGTGACTGAGCCACGGCGCGGGACGGCTCCTAGGCGATGAGTTCGACCAGGCGTACGAGGCGTACGAGCGCGAGGGGCGCGCGGTGCGGGTGGTGCCGGCGCAGCAGCTCTGGTTCGCCATCCTCGAGTCGCAGGTCGAGACGGGCACGCCGTACATGCTCTACAAGGACGCGTGCAACAAGAAGTCAAACCAGAAGAACCTCGGCACGATCCGCGGCTCGAACTTGTGCACCGAGATTGTGCAGTACACTTCCGCCGACGAGGTCGCGGTGTGCAACCTCGCCTCGCTGGCGCTGCCGCGCTTCGTCGACATCGCCGCCGGCGGCGAGCGGTTCGACCTCGACGCGTTGCGCCGCGTCGCTGGTTTCGTCGTGCGCTCGCTCGACCGCGTCATCACCGCCAACGCATACCCGCTGCCGCAGGCCAGCGCCTCGAACATGCGCCACCGGCCGATGGGGCTCGGCGTGCAGGGCCTCGCCGACGTGTTTGCCATGCTCGGCCTCCCATTCGAGAGCGACGAGGCGCGCCGCCTCAACCGCGACATCTTCGAGGCCATCTACTTCGGAGCGCTGCAGGCTCGCCGCCGGCGACACCCCACCGCTTCCACCACCGCCGCCCCGTCACCGCCCGCTGGGCCGCCGTCCCACGGACTAGATCCCCCCCCCCTCCCCCCGAGTGACACGTCCACCGCACGCGCACGCCCACAGGCCTCGTGCGAGCTCGCGGCCGAGCTCGGGGAGTACGAGTCGTACAAAGGCTCGCCCGCGTCGATGGGGCTGCTGCAGTACGACCTCTGGGGCGTCGAGCCGAGCGGGCGGTGGGACTGGCGCGGCCTCAAGGCGAACATCACCAACCACGGCCTGCGCAACTCGCTGCTGCTCGCGCCGATGCCGACCGCGTCGACTGCGCAGATCCTCGGCAACAACGAGTGCTTCGAGCCGTACACGTCGAACCTGTACGCGCGGCGGACGCTCGCGGGGGAGTTCCTCGTGCTCAACCCGCACCTGCAGCAGGAGCTGCAGCGGCTCGGCCTCTGGTCGCGCGAGATCCGCGACCGCGTGATCGCGGCGGGCGGGTCGGTGCAGGGCATCCCCGAGATCCCGCCAGAGACACGGGAGGTGTTTCGCACCGCGTGGGAGATGAAGCAGAAGACCCTCATCGACATGGCGGCGGAGCGCGGCGCCTTTATCGACCAGTCGCAGTCGCTCAACGTCTTCCTCAAGGCGCCCACGTTCGCGCAGCTCTCCTCGATGCACTTTTACGCGTGGCGCGCCGGCCTCAAGACCGGCCTCTACTACCTCCGCTCACAGCCCGCGGCCGACGCCATCAAGTTCACCGTCAAGTCGCAGCAGCGCGCGAACGCCGCCGACTCGAGAGCGGGCGCCGCTGGCGCTCCCGCGGCCGCGGGGCAGACCGGCGAGGGGACGTCGCCGGAGGCCCCTGAGGTTTGCAGGTTGGGGCCCGGGGGACCTGACTGTGAGGCTTGTAGCGGCTAATGCCCCTCTTTTATTGTACACATTGTTGTTTATGCTAAAACAAGGCGCCCCCCGCGGAAATGCTATTACTGTTTTGTGTTTCGCCAATATCCGGCGTGAAGATCTGAGAACAAATATGTATGTGTGAAATATGTGTGTGTGGTCTGTGCGGTGCTCTCACAGGCAGGGGGGCGGGTCGTGTCGGGTGCGCGACGTCACTCTCTCTGAACTCACTCTAGAGCCGTAGAGTCTCTCTCTCTATGTGTGTGCGTGTTCGCGCCGTATTCGGCCCCTCCCGCTCCGGGCCGTCGGCTCTCCCGAGGACAGACGACCGGGGAAGCGGTTCGCCTCTCCTCGTCGGAGTAGTCAGCACACAAGGCGCACTTGCTCGTCGGAATCGACGGAATCAGTAGCACGAGATCTCCTCGTCCTCCTCGTCCGGCCTGGATGTGTTGATGGCGGCGAGCTGCTTTTGCGCAGCGAGCTCGTGCGCGACATTGGAGCCCCAGTCCTTTCCCATCGCGCCGCGCATCTTGTACGTGTCATAGCCGTGCGGGTAGAGCTTGGCCTCGCGCTCCTCCTCCTCGTCCACATACTGTGACCAGTCCACCTTGATTGTCGCTGGCGTCACGCCCGCCACCAGCACGTTCCACCGTCCTATCCGCAGCTTGGAGAGCTCGAGCGCGACTCCGCGGCCAGAGGCTGTCCAGCGCGTCTTGCTCGCATCAATCTGGCTGAAGAGTTGCAATCGGACCTCCAGCCTCCGCTCGTCCGAGTCCGCGTCGATTGCCACTGCGCCGGCGTCCGTGCTGCTGACCGCCACCTCCTCAGGCTCGGCAATCTCGACGTGCAGCGAGAGCCGGTCCGCTCGCTCGGACCAGGTGACGCGCACGCCGGGCGGGATCACCGTGCCGCCCGGCGTCACCGAGGTAGCCGATGCAAGAACGATTGGGGCCGAGCTCGAGGCCATTGTGAGGCGGCCAGGGCGGAGGGGCCACACCACCCCGACTTGGATTCGGCAGGTGGGGTAGGGAGGGGTGGAACTGGTGTATGGTATGCCAACATCTACCGCGGCTCCGCCTGGCGCTGTCAATGTAGACGGGGCGGGGGCGTTCTCGCACCTCGGGCTCAGCGGTCACAGCGGGTGGGTCGGCATAGCGCTGCCCACCGACGTGTCACCTGAGGAGTTGGCTTCGCTCACTCTTGAGTTCTGCCTGCTCGCTGACGCCATGGTCAATGGCGGTATCGCAGTTAGTCCTCCTATGTCCGCCGGAGGCAAAAGCAAAAGTTCCAGACCACATGCACATGCGACACTTCCAGGTCTTTTCTCGTTGTTATTATGGGAGAGATTGCGATCCCCTCGCATGCGACCTTGTTCCCCTCATCCCTCGGGGGTTGGGATAATGCGACACTTCGCGGTCTTTTCTCAGATGCGGTCTTGTTCCCCGCATCCCTCGGGGGTTGGGATAATGAATTCCAAGCACCAAAGAGAGAGAAAGTAGCCGTGGCTAGAAACGCAAGGTAAGGTAAAGGTAAGGAAGGAAGCTGGAAGGTAAGGGGGGGGCGACCCTCGCATCTCCACCGCCCGCGCGGACAGCGGCGGACCACAGCGCTCAGCGGAGCCTACACGCGCCACGCATATGCCATATCAAAGTCGACACAAACAAGCGACAAAAGGCCCGCGGCCACCGCCGCCAGAGAGCAGAGTGGCCAGACCCCACTCGTGAGGGCGAGAGATTTTTGAAAACCAACAAGCAGCAGAGGACGACGTCGAAGCCGCCGCCGCCGCGCAGCAGGTCGGCGAGGTGATCCGCGTCGCCCCACGTGCACGGGGCCACCGTCACCGCGCCCTTTTGCCGGCTGAGCGCCGCATTCCTTCGGATCAGCTCGAGAGCGTCGGGCATGTCGGTGAGCGTCACCGAGGCTGCCCCGAGCGCGGCGCAGACGAGCCCGACGACACCCGTCCCGGATCCCAGTTCCACGACGCGCTTTCCGGCGACCACCTCCGGGTGCTCGCACAGCCAGTTGGAGAGCACCAGCGCCGTCGGCCAAAGGCGGGCAAAGGTGCCGTCTGCGTCCATGACCTCCGGCCCAGCATCCGGAAGGTGCTCGAGCTCAATCGGCGCGCTGAGGGCCGCGTGCTCAAACCGGATGGTGGGCGCGGTGATGAAGTGCGCCATTGGCGTGCGAGAGCAGAGCGTGGAGCGTGTTTTTCTCTTTTTTGCTGTCGGTTCATTAATGGGAACTTGTGCCCGCCTCCTTTACGTACGAGCTCGTATGCCACGCCGCCGCCTGTTTTGGGTCTCTATCTATTTCTTTGTTTATTTATTGGCTACCCGGCCCTGGATGTGCGGTTGCTGACTGCACTCCAAGTGCTCCAAGTGCTCCAGGGCGAGCCTACACACATACACTTGACCCTGTCGTGTGGTGTACCCTGCCCAGCCCCTCTCCGTGTCGCGATGCGCCCCCCCTCCCTCCGCCTCCCTCCCCGCTCCACTGTCCACCCACCCACACCCGTTCCGAGTTCCCTGGTGCTGCATGTGATTTGTGTGTGTACACGCTGTGATTTGTGAGCTATAAGCTGTGAGCTATCACCAGCTAAGAGGGTCCGCCCGCGCAGGGCGCACCGCGCAGGCCTCGAGGCGCAGGCGCATTTTATCGTTGTACCGAGCCGGTGCGGCCCGGTGCCGAGCGCAGGCGGTGCCCATGTCCATGTACCGGTCGCGGCGGACCTCACGACAGCATTACATCCCAATATACCAGCCCCCCTCCCCTCGCGCGCGCGATGGCGCTCCCTCCCCCTTCGAATACCTGCTCTCACCTGACCCCCACGCCCCACCCCCACCACCCCCCACCCCGCACGTCAGCATACGTACAAACTCGTCTCGTTGTCTCTCATCCAACTCTCCAGATCCACGCCGCGCCCTGCCCCTGCCCCCCGGCCGACTCAGCGCGCGGCCGCCTCAGCGCGTTGCCAGCGCGCGGCCGCGACAAAGCGACCCATTAGCTCCTCAGCCGAGCGGGCGGTGCTGCCGCCTTCCTTTGCGGCGAAGCGCGCGTGGATCGCGGGCATGGACTCGCGGATCGCCTCGCTAAGGTGCTGCTCCTCGGCGCCGGGCCCGCAGGCGCCGCCTCGATCGCACCGCCTCGCTGGCTCGATGGCTCCGCTGGCTCGGCCGCCTCTGGCTCGGCCGCCTCTGGCTCGGCCGCCGCCACCGACGACGACGACGGCTCCGCCGGCTCCGCCGCTGCCTCCTGGCGGGGCGGCACGCGCCGCCAGTCGGTGCCCTCCTCGCGCCACGAGATCAGCCCGCGCACGAAAGAGAGGCGCTCGCCCGGTACG